TGTCGATCTATTCTGTGACTATACTGAAATGGACAGAATATGTCGGAGAGAGTTTCTTATTTCCTCCGGAAAGAAGTCATTTTCTATGGTATAATGTGGTATAATTTCATGCTTATTTGCAGTGGTAATTTTTGTGATATAAAGCAAAACGTTAGTGACTCAAACAGTGTGACGGGAACTGTGTACTGTAGTTGGGTTGGAACACTACAGTAAGTAGGTCAAAGTAAACCAACCGCTTCGGGGAAGAGTGCGGGAAGCACAATTTCAGCAAGTGGAGCATCGTCAGAAAATTAATCAGAATATTTTTCATTAATTGTATACTCACAAAATACATGCATTATTGTATTTTTCACATATGGCTAGTTAAGAAAGTATAGAAGTGAATGCTTTCTCTGCCTATAAGTTGACGAACCACCAAATGGTGTCACTACGGTACGAATGAAAATGCTAGGGGTCGCTGCCAAAAACATTTGCATATTAATGAAAAGTGAATGAATGACATCCATATAAGGATATATCAGCTGTCATATAGGGAGAGAAAGACTACATATAGTCATAGATGGCGTATGTATCGATAGTGCAGTTCCACGTTAAGCAAATTTCGTAGTATGCGCGATCCCCTAGACACTTGCGTTACCTAACGCATGTGTCAAAAATGATACCACATATTTGTATATCAATATCATTTTAAAGGTAATTGTGTTTGCTTTTAACATTTGCAAGTAGATTGCGATATTATTTTTGTAATTGCACATTCAACATTGGTCCCTTTAAAGGCACACAGGGAGGTAAAATAATTAAACATTAGTGTAGGGGGTGCTGCAGTCACTCCAATGGCCCAGATGAAAGTTTAAGCTTTGTTTTAATAAGATATCTGTTCAAATTAATTGATTTACACTAGAGAATCAGAAATATAACCGTGGGCCGATTTTCACCATCTATGCAACACCTCCTTTGATATTATTTTGTTCTTTGCTAACATTTGATATTATTGATATTTTATAATAAAGTTGACATTTACATGAACTCCTACAAACAATGGCCTATTTTTTGTTTGAACACGTTAACCCTGAAAAGACTTCGTCCTTTTTTAAACGGCCTAAACAACTCTATAAAACAACAAGTAAAATTTAGAGCAGATAGTGAAGTATAGCGGCAACAAACATAAATTAAAAGAAATCGCACCTACCTTCGTTCATCAGCATATATATGTAGTGAATTATAATAAATCAGGTGGACTTGTGTATTTATACTGACCACACCTACGTCACGTCACGACTGGCTTAATACACTATACCATAAGGAGAAAAAAGGCTCAAGGGCGTTCATGGCTCACCTGGAATTTGTCATTAAAATTTAAAACCGGTCGAATACCTCACACTTGCATCAAATACTTGGATTCTTCATTTATTTATTACTTTAGTCTTTAAATAAGTCACGGTCTGATTTATTTGCAAAATTTGTAAGGCTCAACCGTAGAAAGATACCACCCAAATATCGTGATTCTAGGCCTTAAAGTTCTTCAGAAAAAGTTGCTGAAGTTTTTGACTTATTCGACCTATATGTCCTTGGAAGTACGTCAAGGTATTTTTATGTAAGGTAAGGTAAGTTCCACCTCAGAAAGCTACCAGCCATATAACATCTACGCCTTTAAGTTCTTCAAGAGATTTTCTTTTACATTTTGATCATTGTGATCTTGAAAATAGGTCAAGGTGTTTTTTTAGTTGAAGATGTTGCAAGGTTCTACCTCAGAAATCCACCAGTCATATATCATGACTCTAAGTCTTTTAGTTCTCCATATTTGACCACTGCGACCTAGAAAGTATGTTAAGGCCCTTTTTGATCACATACATTGTTACTTCCATCCAAGGAATTCACCAGCTAATTATAATAAATCTAGGCTTTACAAAAATACAAAAAACGTTCCAATTCTTACAATTCTCAAAAGAAGTTTTTTAAATGACATTAAAAGTTGTTCAAGATAATTTTTATTCACAAAATTTGATAAGGTCCAAATATCCATGGTTCTTACTTGCATGTGTTGTTTTTGTCATATTTTGACCCCTGTGACCTTCAAAGAGGGTCATGGTCAGCTTTTTTGCTTGTATGAGTGTTGGGTCGATAAAGAAGAGGTTGTTGAATTATTAGGATATGAAGCACATATTTTCCATAGAGTACACGGTAAAGGTGGCGGCATTGTTATTTTTATTTGATCTTCGATTGCTTTTCATTGTCATGTTATTAAAAATATAATTGACAATATTGTTTTACTAAAAGTATCTCGTGGTGTAACGAATGACAATGTGGATTTGAATTTTTTGCATGTTATTTCCCGCCTGTAAAAAGCACTGTAAAAAATGCGAAAATGATTTATTTTCCTGTCTAGAAGAAATGTTGTGTCAGTACAAAGATGTGGGTAAGGTAACGGTGCTTGATGATTTTAATAGCAGAACGGGTAACAAAAATGATTATATTATCAATGACAGTATCCAAGAGTTTTCCGCCAATGTTGTCGCCAATATTGTATCGTATGTGCCAGATTCTGTACCAGCTAAACGTTCCAATTCTGCAAGACTACTGCCTTAAGAAGAGTTAATGGAAGGTACAAAAATGATCCAAATGGCAGAGTGATACCTTCTTTAATAATAGAGGTACTAGTCTTATTGGTAATGACCCTTATGATTTGAGCTCAATGAAAGCGTTAATTTTTTTACTGATCTTCTGAAAGAACTTTTATTACCCCTTAGTGTTGTTACCCATCCTGTACGTGATTATAAGAAAAAAGGCAAAGAAGATAAACCCTGGTTCAATGAAATTTGCAAACTTCGCTATATGGAATATATAAATGCTTTATTTATGTTCAATTCATGTAAGAACAAAGAAAATCATGATGCACTTGTTTTGAAAAAACGCAGTTATAAGAAAATGGAACTTAAATTGAAGAGGCAGTACAAAACACATCAAGGTGACATGTTGAACTTCATGAGAAAATATAATCTAAAACATTTTTATAGATATTTCAATAACATAAAGAATAATGTGAAGTCTTCACTTGATGAACATGATTTTTATCAACATTTTAGTAATTTGTCATCTAAGAAACCTTGTGAAAATTAGGCTGTAACCGATTTTTTGAGAAATTATGATGCCACTAATGATATACCTAAAGCTATGTTTTATGAACTGGACACTGACATTTCTAAAGAAGAAGTTAGTAAAGTAATCAATCACTTAAGGAACAGATAAAGCATGTGGCCATGATATGTTAATTAATGAGTTTTTTTATCAGAGGTAAAGAGGTTTTATTACCTTGTCTTGTTAAATTATTTAATTAACCCTTCAATTCTGGTAACCATCCTTCCATATGGTCAATAGGTAATCTTATTTACTTATTTAAAAAGGGGGATAAGAAGGACACAAATAATTATAGAGGAATTACTCTAGCTAGTTGTTCAGCCAAAACATTTACAGCAACCTTAAATAATCGACTTATCGAATTTGATACCGCTTATTCTAAAATAAGTGATGCTCAATTTGGCTTCAGAAAGCATATGTCAACCATAGATGATGTGTTTGTCTTGCAATCGTTAATTATTAGAACTTTAAAGAAGAGCAAGAAGCTAGATTGTTGTTTCATAGATTATAAGCAAGCTTTCGATTTTGTTAAGAGACAGAATTTGTGGTTTAAACTAATTAAGGAAGGAGTAGAAGGTAAACTGTTAAATATAATACGTTCTTTATATAATGATGTAAAATGCTGTGTTAAATACAACAATTCAATGTCTAATTTCTTCGAATGCAGGAATGGTTTATTCCAATGCGAAATATTGTCACCGATTTTATTTTCTCTTTATGTGAATGATTGTGAGATGCATATTTTAAATGACAACGGTCCTTCTATAGAACTCCAAACTATTAACTTATTTCTTCTAATGTACGCAGATGATATGGTTTTGTTAGCTGAATCGGCAGAGGGATTGCAAAAAAAGTTAGACACACTATTACAATACACTAAGAAATGGAATCTAACTGTTAATGTCGAAAAAACTAAAGTTATAATTTTTAGGAATGGTGGTAAGTTGAAGGAGGAAGAAAAATGGTTTTATGATGGTAATGTTTTAGAAAATGTTGATAGTTTTAGCTACCTTGGTAAGTTGTAAATGCCATTCGCTGGATAAGCCAGAACAAAGCGTAATAAAAATGACTATACAGGTATCTTCATCAGAGTGACCCTTAAGTAAATAAATTTACATTAGCGGTGTGTATATTCTTTGTTGGTTAATTGGACAAGACAGAATATCACAGCGTGGGTATAATCTAAGAGACTAACCTGAGTGGCTTATGTAAATCTTGTTTGCAGACACACTGATACAGTAAATACGTCATTTTTGTAAGCTTTGAAAAATTTGTAAAAATTATTTCTAGTAGAAAATATTCATATTATTGAAATCATAAATTTTGGGAATAGTTTTATAATGAAAATATATGGAAAACATCTATATGAAAAAAGGAGAGATTTTCACTATGAAATACACCTGTCGGTCTGAAAAATATTTGTTCTCAAAGATTAAAACTATATGGTTAAAAAAGTATGTATGGCAATAGCATATGACATGTGAATATAGATGAATATTAATAAATATGTACAATAATATGGGAGGTAGTTCAACATAGTAGAAGCATAGCCTCTAAAGCTTATCAGGATAATAAAAAAATAAAAAAACCTATTTGGTACATGGTATTACTGTTACTAGCAAATTGGCTCATCAGTGGTTAAGTATGAAAATAATGCTAGTTGGCTGTTGCAAAGGGAGGTAACTGATGATAAGTAAATATAATTTAACACAAAAAATAAATCATTTTCAAGCAAATATTGACTTTAAACATAAAACCTGGTACACATAAACACTAACAGCAAGGCCAATATGTACATAAACTTGTTATTGCTCTTGTTGTGTCCCTTGATAGGAACTAAACAAAAACAGTATTCTGAACACAACATGAGGTAATACTGTGCAGTATATGATTTTAAAGCTTATAAATCAAGAATATAAAATCATTCTGTATAAGATGTTATTATGAGCAATGAAATGAAGTTCACACACACATATATATAGCATATATACAAATATCAAAATGGGTGTTGTAAGTCATGTCTCATTTAGATCACATTGTTTAATATAGGGGTTGAAGACTCAAACTCGATCAAAGTGGATGAAAATATCCATGATGGCAAACTAAAGGGTATGCTGCAAAAGGTTGACTCAAAATGGCTCGAATTGAGTGTGCTTGCATAGGAGAGAGACGAACATTGTTAGCAGGATAAATTCTCTTTTTGCTATTATTGTTGGTAATGGAGAATTCTGACAAGTCCACTCTGAGGATTGGAAAGATCTTTCCATACACACGAATGTTAGTTATGTCAATAGGGAGTGATATAGTCTAGTTATCAGGACAGAGGGGGAGTAAAGCTACGCAAACTAGCTCACATGCGGTGCCAGTGGTGAGTTCAAGGATTTGTTTGTGATTTTTACGAAACCTTCTCCACCAGATACAGTAAATGGAAGTGAGGATGAAAATAGTAGTAAGGAGTGACAGTGTTACATAAGGCCATGGTGTCATAAGTGAGTTATACACATTTTCAGTGATGGTGTTAGGGGTGGTGAGGTCAGGGAGATTCTGGAAATGAAAGCTTGGGATGTTAGGTGATACAGTAAAGGGTTTTTGGAGATTTCTGAATCAGTAACAACATTGTAGATAAAAAAAAATATAAACAGAGACTAGGCTAATCTTTATGCCTGATGTGGCTGTTCCAACAAGGGCGATACCGCCACTAGTATCTGGCCATGTACCAGCTGTAAATGGAATCTGTCCATCTAACATAGATTCTGCTAATGTTTTGAATACAGTTTCACCTTTTTTTGGTTTTCTGCACGATTTTCTTTAAGCTTAAATGATAATTCTGATCAGTTGCCAAAGTTTCCGAAAATGAATGGTTATAATTTTTGAAATGAAATTATCAGTTTTGCTATTCCATAAAACATTGAAAAGAACAGAATTGAGCTGTTTTATAAAATTTTCAGATGGATTAGGTAAGGAAATAAACAAATGATTCACCTGAGAAATTAATAAAGATTTAATCATATTAATTCTACTGATAGGTGTGAGCAACCTTCTACTCCATCTCTTAATAAGAGCTTTAAGTTTAACTTTTTTTTATCAAAGTTCATTTTAGGTATTTTGTAAAGATCTACATGGAAATCTATCCCAAGAAGAGCAAATTTATTAACTCTCCATCTAAGATTCATATTTGGAAGGAGAACATCATTGCTGTATTTTTTACTGCCTATCCAGACATTTTTACCTACATTTTCTTTAAGACCAGATATTTTTGCATAAATATTAAGTTCATCAACCACCCCTTTCAGTGATTTTTCAGAACCATCTAATACCAGAGAAGTGTCATCTGCATACTGAGAGTTTAAGATGGGACAGTTATTAACATTTATACCAGTTATACTCTTAATGTGTCTAAGGCGGATTGCTAATACTTCTGCACATAGTATAAAAATATATGGAGCGATGGGGTCTCCTTGACGACAACCACGATTTATTTTGAAAAATGCTGATAAATTACCCCCCTGCAGAACTTGAATGACAGTGTAAAACTTTGACCCAATTTCTGATGTCGTTTCCAAATCCAAAATATCTAAGCACTTCGTCTATGAATTTGCAAGTGACAGAATCGAAAGCCTTTTCAAAATTAACCATTAATAACATTCCAGGGATATCATTTTCCTCTGTATATTGCATAATGTCATAAACCAGGCGAGTATTTTCTCCTACGTAACGTCCTGATATAAATCCTTTTTGATCAGAATTTATAATTTTTTGTAAACTAATTTGCATCTACTTGTTATTGATCCAGAAGCAATTTTGTATACAATGTTTAATAGAGAAATAGGTCTCCAATTCTTTAGGTCTCCAATTCTTTATAAAATACTTCGATTTATTAGCCTTAGGTATACAAGTAATTATTCCCTGACGTTGTGTAATAGACAGCTGATCGTTTAAAAAAAAACATAATTTAATGCCCTACCCACAAAATTACCTAACTGATTCCAAAAACATTTAAAAAATTCCGATGTGAATCCATCTGAGCCTGGGCTCTTATTACTTTTCATATTCTTCAGTGTTTCAGATGTTTCTTTAAGTGTAATAATACCTTCCAAACTGACCGCTTTTTCAACATTTAATCTAGGAACACCAAAATCTTCTAAAAATTCATCCAAATCTATGTCATCGACTTCATTATCAATAGAATACAAATGTTTATAAAAAAAACAGCTCATTTTTAAACATCTACTTGTTTAGTTAGGAATTCTCCATTCTCCCGTTGTAACTTTGGAATGATTTTTGAAATAAATTGTATATTTTCTAAATTAAAAAAATAATTGGTAGGTTTTTCACCCTTATCAATCCATAAGACTTTTGTACGCATTATACTCCCTTTTATCCTATGTACTTTAATCTTTTCCAATTCTTTTTTTTTCTCAAGTAACTTGTCTAAGTCTACATCATTCTCATTTTTCAGTTCCTGTATTTGATTTTTTAAGGTCGTTTCCCTTGCACAACACTGTTTCTTTTTATAGGAAAAATATGAAATTGACTTACCTCTAATTTCCATTAATAGTGTTTCTAAAAAACCTGATCATTTATAACAAACGGTAAATCTGAACAGGTCATCAATATTTTCAGGAATATATATGGGAAGGCAATACTGTAATTTAACTGTTTTGATAGTATCATTAATTATATTTAGATATTCCAGGTCATGTAACAAGGAACTATTGAACTTCCATAGACCTTTCCCTTTTTTAAATTTGTTAAATTTTAACATAATTTTGGGGAAAGAATCCTCTGATCTGTAACCTGGATCTATACTTGTCTCATCTACACTTTGTAATAAATTCCCAGAAACCAAAAAGAAATTTAACCTAGCCTGCTTGATAGGTTTACTCCTACGCCATGTATATCTGGAAATGTCAGCATGCTGTTCTCTAAAAACATCCACTAAATCAAAGTTATCTATTATTTCTAATACCCTATCACGAGCCTTTGGATTATTAACATTTTTTGTAGTTTTTATCACAATCTAAATCAGGATTAAGAACTAAATTAAAATACCAACAAACAACACAGCTATCATTTTTAAACTCATAGAGAGTTTCTTCTATTTTATCATAAAAAGTTGGGTTGTCAGAGTTTGGACCATACAATGTAATTAAAGTTATTTTATTACCTTCAACTTCTAGATCCAATGCCAAAAAAGTTCCCTGTTCAGTCTTTTTTTCCCTTTATCACCTTGACTTCAAAATTGTTATTGATAAGTATTGCTACCCCCCTTGCATTAGATTTAAAATAATTAAAATAGACCCATTCACTCAGTAAGATTTATTCCTGTTCTTCGGTAAAGTGAGTATTTTGCAGACAGTAGATATTGTATTTACTATCTCTTAAATAAGTAAAAACATCTTTGCGCTTAACCTTGTCACCAAGGCCCTAGCAATTGACTGACAATATCTTAATTCCCTCCAAAACTGTTTAAGAAATTACAATGAATACAACAATGTCTGGAGTTACAGCAGGCAGTAAAAATTGACCGACGGAAACTACACAGCAGTAACAGTATTAACACGCGTTAAATTTATTCATGACATCATTCTGTATAATTTCATTTGCATAAACATGTTCAAAAATTGTTTTAAATGGTGTTTTTACATGTATAAACCCTTCTATCTAAGGTGGTATTCTATCTAATCTGTAAGCTGATCAACTTTCCCTTGGGAAATACGATATACATTGGACAATTACAAGTCATTTAGTATATCTTTGAGTTCATTATCATATACAAGAAGTTTATCTTAGAACAATCAATGGTAGATTTCTACGGAAATTGAAACTTTGCTACGTATTACCCTTAAATCACCTTTTTAGCATAATATCGTCAGGTCTTGTCGACATTTTCCATAAATGCTTTTCTAAAGGAAGATGGTACATGATCGATTCACTACTCCCGTTTAACATTATATCATAAATACTTGTTATTCTCGCTATCTAATTAATAGAATATAGCAAGATAAGAACATATACATCATCAAAATTCAGATCACAAGCGAAAAGACAGTCATTAAGGGATGTCAAATATTATTTAAATCACCACCAGCCTCAATCAAACCGGAATAAAATCGGTTAGACTTGATGACAATTTTAAATTGTTGAAGGGAAGTAGCATTTAAAGATTCTGCAGATAGAAGGTTAAATTCTCTACACTTTGAGGGAAATTAACTATTAAAATAATTCTAGGATCTACAGAAAGGGAGATTGAAAATGCAGCTATGTCTTAGTGGGTATCTTGCATTTATATTGCTGTAAAGGTATGGTTCAATGATGTCTTTTAGGTACCTAGGCGATTCATTTTTTTTAAATTTTGAAGTCTTAATTTATGATATTTTTTTTTTGATGAATTCCTTATGAAACATTGATTGTTCTATGGTGTCTGTTGTACACAAAAATATTAAAAACATCATTTCTGACCACTACAGCTGCAGTTCAAACGCCCGCGCTCAACAGATTACTAGTTATGGGTAAGTACATCTGTGTTACGTCCTTTCGTGTAGATGTCATGTCTATTTCGATTACTCTAACAAGTCCATTTGGTGTTCATTTGTGGAAATATTCAACTCTACTACCAAATGACATCCACTTTTGAAGATACTGTGTTTAGCATTGTGCCCTCGGTATTCATTTGTGGAGATAATATATTAAGCATTCTCCACTTGTACCCACGCGTGAAGATTAAATGTTTAGCATTGTCCCCTTGCCATTCACATGAGAAGATGTTTTAGCATAGTCTCTTTAATATCAACTTTTGAAGATTATGTATTTAGCATTTTCCCTTGCTATACACATATGAATATGATATGCTTAGCATTGTCCCCTTATTATTCACACACAAAGGAGTTTTTAGCATACTCTCTGATATTAACTTTTGAAGATTATTCCTCAGCTATGCACATATGAATATGATATGCTTAGCATTGTCTCTTTGATATTAACTTTTGAAGATTATTCCTTTGCTATACACATATGAATATGATATGCTTAGTACTGTCCCCTTATTATTCACACACAAAGGAGTTTTTAGCATTGTCTATGGTATTCACATGTGAAGATTATGTTTTTAGCATTTTCCCTTACTATTCACATGTGAATATTATTTATTCAACATTGTTCCCGTGGTATTGCGAATATATGTTTCCACGTTGTGTAGATGTTAAACACTGCCTCATTGATATCCTTTTGTGTTGTGTGGATATGGTTAGGCACATGCACTTGCCTCGTCTGTCAATAACACCTATAAGATTATATTATAGGTATATTGACAGACGAGGCTAGTACCTGTGGTTAAGCATTGGGCTCCACTCTCCTGGTATCCATCTCTATAGATATATCGTTTAGTATTGCCTTCTTGATGCCCACCTCAGTTGATACATCAACTATTGTAGATGTTAGCGTAAATGCTGTGTAAAGAGTGACCATTGGACTCTACCTGCACTGGGAACTTAACATTTAATCATATTTTATATTTTCAGTGGCTCAATAGGAGCAGAAAACCAAGATGAAATAGACAATGCTCAAGAACCATTTGACCCCTACACTGTGAAGAGGGTCCTCATTCCCCGATACAGTGAAACAGGACAGTAAGTAGACAAATACAGTTCACTAAGATAATTTCAGTGAAGGTACTTAGTGTTCAATGAGTTAATAGGCAAAACTTGTCTTTTCTTTCTCAAATCTTACATCATGTTAGAAGTATGGTATTGATGAATCATTCTCAAGGTAGACCTATCTAACTGCTTTCCTTATTTTTTCCCTACCAGCCGACCTAACATTCCGGGCTACAAATGTTGTACACTATGGAGGGGTGTGTATGCCCAAGGTTCCCAGGCTACTACTGCCATCACCCACAAGTAAGTAACTTATCAGACTTCCAACTATCTGATCTTCACTAACCTCACCCACAATTACTGCTAACATTAAACATATACATATATATGTGCATTAGCTTCACTTTTATTGCAAAAAAGTAAGGAATTTGTCATATTTATGCCGGCGTTACATGCGAAGTAAGTATCTTAAAGACTTTTACTTCCATCACATACATACTTTTACTTCTTCTACAAGAAATACCGTATTTAAGGATATTTTGGCATTGCCAAAAACTGGCATTTTCTGTTCGAAAACACTAATAAGTTAGGCCATCTTCAGATAAAAGCATACCTTTTTGGATGTGTTATTTATGAATTGTGTTATTCCTGCCCTAAACAAGTGAGCAATTCTAAGAGTAACTTACATGAAAAATAAGGCCCAAAAATTGGTAAATGATGCATAATAAATCAGTTTGAAGACTGTCTGCCGATATATTTTGGTATCCTTGGTGTGTGAAATTTTGGCTCATTTACTCCAAGAGCCAAATAAACCGAAAATTAACCACATCTAAAATATCCAAAACTACGATAAAGTGTTGTTCTCTCATTGCTATCGCTCACTAAGTAAACACGTGCAATGTCTCACAAGTAAACACGTGCAATGTCTCACAAGTAAATACGTGCAATGGCTCACAAGTAAACATGTGCAATGGCTCACAAGTAAACACGTACAATGCCACAAGTAAACATGTGCAATGACTCACAAATAAACACGTGCAATCGCTCACAAGTAAACACGTGCAATGGCTCACAAGTTAAAACGTGCAATGGCTCACATGTAAACACGTGAAATGGCTCACAAGTTGACACAAAACACATGCATGTCCTTGACTCCGGTTATATGTACTGTTCCTTTAAGTATGTTAAGTATACATGTATATAAATATTTCATACACTGTATTTCATTTATAATATTGGTATTTGCAGATCTTTACCTATCTCCCCGAACACGTCTGAACATAAGAAGGACTCCAAGATGTCTAAGATGGTCACCACTGTTGCACCATGTAATCCGTTCAACCAGATCAACAAACTGGATGAGATCATCGCCACTAACAAATATGTGGCATAGAATTAATATAGATTTATATTCCTTCCAAGTATTGCACCCTACTATGTGACAGAATTTGATATTTTCCCCCACGATGGCTCTAGTTCTTATTGCAATTCGAAGAACATTCGTTTTCCAATTTTATAATATATTACCGGTTAAAATTTTAAATGTAGAATGTGAACCCTTGCAAAAAGAGCAATTAGTATGCTAACGTGACATATCGTTTTCCGTAACATCTCAAAATGTACACTTATTTATCAATCAATGAATGCACTCATTGATATTGAAATCAAGATTGTTTTCAACATCTGATTTCTATCCAAATTTCTTAGCTTCTAATCATGTTTTCTATGTCTTGTTAGTTGGAATGATGACAGTTTATCTACTTGTTACCCATAGGTTATGATTCTGAATACTAACGTGGTAGCTGGGTGTTTTTTACCTGTGGTCAATTTTGTCCTGGGCCTAAGATAACCTCGGAAGGTGTAACTGATGTCCATGCTTTTTACAATGTAAGGTTGTGCCCATGTCAGTGCAATGTTACCACTGATCTGAAACAGTATTATTATTGATTTGGGTAATGTTCTAATAACTGTTATCATGTTTTTGTTAATGTATTAAGTCTGCTTACCGTCTGTATTACATTGAGCTGTAAGAAATAGGATCTTAGTTCAACACGAGTTGGCCTGAACCGACCGTTTTACCTTTTGACTGACGCTGATTGTGACCTTTTACGGTAAACGTATCCTACCTGAACCGTTTGGGCAGCATATATACAAAAGCTTTGATAAGATAGAGTATGGAAGATAAAATGTTCTGATAAACAATATTTTGCCAGGACACTACTAAAGACATAATAAAATGTTTTTGTAAAGACTAGATTATATGTTGTAATAAACACAGGTGCTGTATCGACAACGTTATTATCGTGCTGTTAGTATTGCTCATCCGGCTGTGATACATATTTACAATTGGAACGTTTCTATATTCCTTACTTTTCTATTTTGTTTTCTCATGTCTCTTTACACATGAATATTGATATGCTTTTGGACTTTTTCATATTATAAAATCAACTTTTAATCTTCATTTTGTCACCAAGACAGAATTGATTGTACGAAGTCTAAATATATATATATACCTGAGTGAAACTGGTCAGAATTTCTACCTGGCAGAAATATATTGATTTATTTTCATATAAAAAAGAATGTGCGTCTATCAACTTATTCCCCTTATTGATGTTCAAATAAACATATTTTTCTTTCTAGTATGATTTGTGTTACTTATATTAGACCACCGCCAGCAGCAGTAAGATGCGTGTAACGATATTCACGAAACGATATTTGGCCAGTAGCATGCTGAGATGAAGGGCTACCAAGTTTGTTCAAATGAATGACCTTCACCCATATTCAAGGTCACAGGGGTCAAATATGTTGAAAACTTCAAACAACTTATTCTCAATAACCAGAATGCCCAAGGTGATGATAATTGGCCAGTAACGTGCTGAGGTAAAGGGCTATCAAGTTTGTTCAAATGAATGACCTTCCCCTATATTCAAGGTCACAGGAGTCAAATATGTTAAAAACATTAAACAACTTCTTCTGAATAACCAAATTGCATAGGGTGATGATATTTGGTCAGTAGCATGCTGTGATGAAGGGATACCAAGTTTGTTCAAATGAATGACCTTCACTCATATCCAAGGTCACAAGGGTCTAAAATGTTAAAAAATTTAAATAACTTCTATTGAATAACCAAAATGCCCATAGTGATGATATTTGGCCAGTAGCATGCTGAGATGAGGGGCTAAGAAGTTTGTTAAAATGAATGACCTTCACCCATATTCAAGGTGACAGGGGTCAAATTTGTTAAAAACTTTAAACAACTTCTTCTGAATAACCAAAATGCCCAGGGAGATGATATTTCGTCAGTAGCATACTTGGATCGAGGGCTACCAGTTTGTTTAAATGTTTTACCTTGAATCATATTCAATGTCACAAGGAGCAAATATGTTCAAAATATTTAAAGAACTTGTTCTGAATAACCAAAAGGCTCAGTATGTTGATATTTTGTCAGTAGCATGCTTGGATCAAGGACTACTTTGTTTGTAAAAGTGAATGACTTTGACTTATATTCAAGGTCAAAGGGGTCAAATTTGTTCAAAATCTTTAAACGACCTCTTCTGAATAACCATTGGTCCCAGGATGTTGATACTTTGCAAGTTGCATCCTGAGATGAAAGGCTATAAAATTTGTTCAACATAATGACTTTGTTCGACTTTCAATCACAGGGGTGAAATTTAAAAAAAAAAATTACAGGCACTTTTGAATGAATTTTAATCATAAATACCGATATTTTTTCCTGTAGCTTTATTTTAGATCACTTTTAAGGTTACAAGTGTGAGATTTATACCAGGTGAGCGATGCAGGCCGATTGGGCCTCTTGTTCTTTCTAGGATGATTTGTGTCTCTTATATTAGACCACCTCCAGCAGCAGTAAAATGCGTGTAAAACCTACATGGCTATTCATGAAATCATTCCTAACCGAAATTGAGGCAGTGCCTGCAGCCTCATTAATGCGATCATATTCGACCCATATTTTATGTTACATGCACATTATGCAAATTTACAAAAAAGGATAAGACCTATGTTAATGTGGAACAATAAACAATCAAAATTGAAGAGATATTTATGAACTCATCAAAATCGAAAACAGACTCTCTCATTTTTAGGGCAAGTGATCTTATGCCATGGTGCGGCGTAAGCCGTCCGTCCGTTGTCCGGTGTCCGGCGTCCGTCTGTCTGGCGCTAATTTTTTACTTTAAACAACTTCTTCTCAGTAATCCAAAACTAGGATGATCATATTTGGCCAGTAGCATACTGGAATCAAGGGCTACCAAGTTTGTTCAAATAAATGTCCTTGACCCAATTGCAAGGTCACAGGGGTCAAATTTATCAAAACCTTCAAACAACTTCTCCTCAATAACCAAAAGGCCCAGGATACTGATATTGGGCCTGTTGCATGCTGGGATGAAGGGCTACCAAGTTTGTTAAAATCAATGACCTTGACCAACTTTCAAGATCATAGGGGTCAAATGTCTTAAAATCTTCAAACGACTTCTTCTCCATAACCAAAAGTCCCAGGGTACTGATATTAGGCCTGTAGCATGCTTGGATAAAGGGCTACCGAGTTTGAAAAAATGAATTACCTTGACCCAGTTTCAAGGTCACTGGGGTCAAATGTCTTAAAATCTTCAAACGACTTCTTCTCAATAACTAAAAGGCCCAGGGTACTGATATTTGGACTGGAGAATGAACGAATGAAGCACTACCAAGTTTGCTAAAATGAAAGACCTTGACCAACTTTCAAAGTCACAGGGATCAAATGTTGTAAAATTTTAAAACGACCTCTTCTCAATAACCAAAAGGCCCAGGGTACTGATATTAGGCCTGTAGCATTCTGGGATGAAGGACTACCAAGTTTTTTACAAATCAATGACCTTGACCAATTTTCAAGGTCAAAGGGGTCAAGGTCTTAAAATCTTCAAACGACTTCTTCTCAATAACCAAAAGGCCCAGGGTACTGATATTGGGCATGTAGCATGCTGGGATGAAGGACTACCAAATTTGTTGAAATGAATGACCTTGACCAACTTTCGAGGTCACAGGAGTAAAATGTAAAATCTTCAAACGACTTCCTCTCAATAACCAAAAGGCACAGGGTACTGATATTGGGCCTGTAGCATGATGGGATGAAGGGATACTAAGTTTGTCAAATGAATGCCCTTGACCCAGTTTCAAGGTCACTGGGGTCAGATGTCTTAAAATCTTCAAACAACTTCTTCTCAATAACCAAAAGGCCCATGGTACTGATATTGGGCCTGAAGCATGCCGGGATGAAGGCCTACCAAGTTTGTTAAAATAAATTACCTTGACCAACTTTCAAGGTCCCAGGGGTCCAATTTCGTAAATTCCTCAAACAACTTCTTCTCAATAACCAAAAGGCCCAGGGTCCTGATATTGGGCCTGAAACATGCTGGGATGAAGGACTATCAAGTTTGTTCAAATGAATGACCTTGACCAACTTTCAAGGTCACTGGGGTCAAATATGTTAAAATCTTCAAACAACTTCTTCTCAATAACCAAAAGGCCCATGGTACTGATATTGGGCCTGAAGCATGCCGGGATGAAGTCCTACCAAGTTTGTTAAAATAAATTACCTTGACCAACTTTCAAGGTCCCAGGGGTCAAATTTCGTAGAATATTCAAGCAACTTCTTCTCAATAACCAAAAGGTCCAGGTTACTGATATTGGGCCTGTAGCATGCTGGGACAAAGGGATACCAAGTTTGTTCAAATGAAATACCTTGACCTACTTTCAAGGTATTTCACACCTAATGTCCTTGTTCGACATTCAATGTCACAGGCGTCATGTTTAAAACTTTTAATAGGTTCTTATGAATCAAACACTGATATTCTGCCTGTAGCTGTTTCTTTTAGTCCACTTTTACGAATACAAGTGTGGGATTAATACCAGGTGAGCGATGCAGGCCCATTGGGCCTCTTGTTCTATGCGGGAACTGTTTGATCTGAAAACGAAACACCATTTTATAATTACCTAACCTTTGTTTCATTTCTGCATCATGTCCAGCTTATCCGTTACGGCCCACTGAAGCGTTAACATGGACCCCACTCCTTTGGTTCACAACACCAAAAATTGTTAAAATATAACTTTCCGGAAAAAGGATTTTTCTGAACACAAAACGAAATTGAAAACTGATTTTGCGAGCTATGGAAACGTATGTTTCCTTTATCAAGCCAGAACATTTGAAAACAGGAAAACAAATTTGGAAGGGTTCGGCATAACCTTGCGAGGCTCAACATCGTCATTTTGTATTTAAGCATCAAGTTCGACTAAATTTAGGAAATTTATTTTCAGGAATGCGTGGACTTAACAGAAACAAGACGGTACCTGTAACCTAATCAAACAAAGACGATCTCGTCTCGAATTTGGCACTGCATCTATGCGAGCAAAGAACAAATTCGTTGACACCCATAGTATGTTATCCGTCAGCCAATCAGAATCGCGCACGTATCTGTAACTTGACTATAATTGTTTGTCATCTTCGAACTTGGAATGAATATTTCCGTTATGTAATCATATCCCAAGTTTCATTGACACCATCGATATTTAAGAAAACTTGTTCCAAAGCAATGCGTGACGGAAGGACGAACAGAAAAAAGGGTATTTAAGGAATGACCAATGATCCGCGAAGCGGTTTATGCAAAAAAGTGCACAATTATTTTTCAGTATATACCGTATATACCAAATAAAATCATTCTTTATAATTTAATTTTTTTAAAGTAGACAAACATGTTGTAAATTCACAGTTAAAGGTTTATTTAATTTTTAGGTAAACTAAACAATTGCGCTAAAAAAAAGCTGCGTTGTAATTTTACATTCTGAAGTGTATAAGGTAGTTCCGTCATCAGTTGTTATCTGTTTAGGTATATACAATATATACCAAAAAAATAATTATGGGGGAGATAGCCAAAATTAAATTATTCGTATTTTTTTTTTTTAAAGAACGAAATACAAATAGGTTTAAGCATTTAAATAACCTTTCATATACTGGATAATGGGACTAAATAAAATATTGCTAATTACCACGAACTTATAACCAGGGTTTAAAATCAATATGTAATACGATTCTACAAATAAGACGAAGTACGGTTCACCACAAACACCAAGATTTATAATGGTTTTCTTTGATAAGTTGTGGTGCCAGACAGACGTACAGACATGCTTTCTTTATCAGGCTTTTGTCAACACTTAACATGTAGTTTATTGAAAATTTTGATGTCTGGTATTGTCTTCATCACCAGATGTCAAGTCACCTGCACAGTGATATTTAAATATATAATTGGTCATCGTTGTTGGTCTCTTTTTGCCACTTCCTCCACTACAGCTATGGACTCCGTTTTCCTATAGTGTTATCATCTCCACATCCATGTCCACTACCATTTCCACTATCACTTCCACTTCAGTTTCCAGATTTCCACTTAGATAGATCCATACCAGGCAGTGACTCGCACGATTTCTTTGTCCTGGCACTGGAAGGTTAAATCAGGGTTGGCTATTACATAATCACACGTACTTTAACACTATTTCAACACACTACATTAGAGGTAAGGGGACATATGAGTATATTAGAGAAACAGAAAATAAATAGGGTTTTTTTTCATTTTCTAATGTGTAGTCTTGATTAGCAAGGTTAATGGTTTACGTTGACAATAGAAGAACAAACGATATGCGTGACACATTTCTTCCATAAAAGTGAATAAAAGACAACACAAACATGTTTCATTCATTTCTACCATACAGGTAAACAGAAGACAAATGCAAAGAAGTATGTTCACTTCTACAGTAGAAATGTACGGGTTACATCTTCTTTACAAGTGTACAAGACACAACATAAAGATATGTATGGATCAGTTTGATACGGTTGGTTTTTCTCAATCGAACACATTTCACCACAATTCTAAACTTACATGCCAACCATCTTGAAGACGTTTTCTGGAATCAAATCGATTCCGAAGTTTTCGCACATGACTTTGGACAACTTCACTTTTCTGATTTCTGCCAATTGGTCTGTAATAGAAACCGTTTATCATTATCACTGGAAAACAGACGCATCTGCACCTACTTTTGCCAAATGTGATATCGAAGGTGACGAATACATTTACGTTATTTTATGATGAGCGTTTTGCTAACAAAAGTACGAGGACAGTTGTATTTAAGATGGGTCAATGCTCAATAAGAGTAAGTATATATACGTACTCGTCAAAATGTTCTAAACAGTGGCTATGGGTACTTAAGTCTAAGAATGTCACCGTATCGGTTATAACGGCAAATAATTACACCGCAGAGAATAAGGGTAAGGTTCCTCATAATAATATTATACAGTACATAGACGGATAAACCTAACAAACACCCATGGGGTCGCACCTTTAACATTCGGTAATAGATACAGCAGGCCAAATATGAATACACCACTCCATAATACAGCTGTTTCGTCCGTCTAGGACCCATCAGTGATGCTAGGGGCCGAACAGTTGAAAATCCAAAAAGGTTTTAACCACTGTTCTAAAAGAAAGTAAGGTGCCTAAAAAAACCTCAATGATGTTCTTGGTCAGGATAACATCTCTTGTAAAGGTATCCATCTGTCATTTGGTGCCGTGGTTCTATAATCCCTGGTTAAACGATTTGTTTAAGTGTAAGATTGGCAATGAACTACATCGGTCCTGAATTCTATCCATTTTATTTTATTTCTATTCATCTTTTACTTTTGGTTTTCAAGTTATTAAATTTTCATACGACTATAATCGTGTAAATTGCTTCGCGTAATTTACATGGACCATTTATAAAGAAATGACTAATGGTAATACTATATATTGACTAAATGACACTCTTTACCTCAATTATCACACGGGTTTTGACTTGACACGTAATGTAAAAGCATGCTGTCATTTATATATATATATCATTCAATCGATATGAAATCGAATCCTCCAATCGTATCAATACAATATTTGGAATAAGAACCAAACTTTGCCTTTATAATCAATGCAAATAAATTATTTTACATTAAACTGGTATTACTTAAAAGTCACTTGAACTTTACGGTTTAATCCCCCTGATTGGTCACGTCTTTGGACTCGGAAGAGGTTGGGCAAACGCCATGATATGTGGTATTTAAGTTATCCTCGATCCTGTTTAACAACAATACGCTCAGTCGACATCATTGCAGTCACTTCAAGCTTACATAAATATTAATTCAATTACCCTTGGTGAATCCTTCCGCTGTGGGCCTTTCATAGAAGAATCTATCCCCAGCCTTCAGTTCTGAGAATTGACGTGCAAAGATATGGCTGAAAACTCGTCCTAGGTGACCGCCACTAACGTCCCTCTCAGAGATACCGCCGGCGAAAAGATCGATGTCGTCCACATGGCTAGGAAGAAGAAAGTAACGATCAAATAAGATTACATCAATGTAAAGGTAGCTCAGTGGGCAGAGGTTGTAGGTGTATCCGGTTGGTTCGATACATTCGCTAAATATATATTTCTGAAGAAAATCTTTGTAATTATGCTATAATCATCGCAATAGTGCATGTAGCAACAGAGGACCAAAAACAGGAAAGTAAAATGTAATATTATCATCCTTTTACTAATCGTGAAAATGGGGATTTTCATCATGTTTGATAAGGAAGCTTTTATAAACACCATAACGGAGTGACGGTCGCAGCCGAGTCGCCACACTAATCACCATAACCTCACATGACCAAGAAAATAATATATTGTCACAACTGTTACTTATTCAACAAATTGTACCAGCTATAGTTCATCTTACTACTCCTCATAAATACATACAAACAATTAAAAGTCGTTTCCAAAATCTGTTCGTGGTTTGTTACCTTTAGTGAAGTCGTACGCCTATGTTTTACCTGTCGTATATACTGTAATTGTTACGTTTCTAATGCAACTTTTATCATATTCATTAATAAAATAATTAATATTTATTCTGAGAGCTTACATTGGCATTGTTGTCCAATTATTTTTGTATCTAACACATGTAGATTGAAATGATCCTAAATGTACTTGACAAGAAGGTGAGAGATAAAATTATATGCATTGGTTGTTGCCCAGTTCCTTAAAGTATTTGTGATCTCTACAATGAAATAAGCTTACATAGTTAATTGCGTTATGACGTAATAAGCACTATTTACTCAATGTGCGATTGAGCTGCAGCGATGTTCACGCTTCCTGCGTGTGACTTAATGTCCGAGACCATGTCGTTTCACGCCAAGTCTGTTGACGTATTGTTAAATAAATGATCTCAAACAATAACATATATACCTACTCACTTGTAAACATTTTGCAATAAACGGATCTCCCGTTTAGAATGCTCCGATAACTGACTAAATGCCGTTGCCCTGGGGAGTCCCGCCCACTCGCGCCAGTCATTGTAGGATGGTACACCGTGGTCTCGTCCTCTCTGGACGTTTAATGCACCAAGGTCAAAGCTGTGACCTTCAGAATCGAGGAACAGAAGGTCACGGATACCGCGCTCCAAAATCCTTCAAAAGAGAATTGAAATGTTAAACCTTTAAAGTGTAACGCTGTGTTATGTGGCAAAGCACTGTTCAATATATGCTGGTAATTTGGGAAATTTTACGTGTTTCTGTCTCTTTATCATGCAAGTTATTTAAGGACTACTTTTTGAATATAATAGGTGAACATCATAATCACTTACCTGTCTCTTTTCATTGATTCGTTTGCGCAGACCCACCGTGCAAGCATTGGAACATCATTTCCGCTGTTACCTACGACCATGGAGGGTTTAAAGAACGTCTCTTCAATGGGCTTTACTTCGTATGTCATGTAGTCGTGGAGCAGGAATGCCTGGAACCCGCTCACAAGAGAGTGTCCGTACCTCATTGCCGCCACTGCGAACGAGTTCTTAATGGTGGGGTCTACGCTTGCGCTGTACGGATCTCTATTTGAACGCTTTAGGTTGTAAATCTCCAGAAATTCTGGTGCCAGGATGCTGGGTAACCATTCGTAGTACGTTATCTGCTGGAGAAGCGCAGATACTATTTTCCGTGTCTCCTGAAACGTCTTCTCGTCGTTCCACTGCGGATTCAAGGTAGACAACTCATTGGCAATACGGTTGTGTTCTCGGAAGAACAGCACGTGATTTGCTCCGAGATGTGGTATAACATTAGCTCGGACGTCACCTGAGGGGGCAAATGGATTTTTCTAAATTATAAAACACAAGAATGTATTAATAATTCCGAAAATACTAGTACAAAGAAAAGTGCTTTAAGTATTCAAACAAATTGATCTGATTAGTCGTTCAAATGCATTCATCTTTTGCTATTACTTATCGCCCATTCTTTTCTTCGTCGAATCAAGAAATAAAAAATTCTGATTCAAATGCATGGAACCCCCAAGTCTTTATAGAAAACAACACTACATACACGTTTTTTTTATTATATTAATAATTTAATTTGTATTTATGTTTATAAATCCTTCCACATCCGCAGCTCTGATATCATTATCTACTAAGCTACGTCACAGTCTTAAACATTATGTCACAGGACTTGCCTGGAGCTATGTCACAGACTTTAACATTATTACACAGAGACATACACGTCGCTATGCCACAGACTTTACCATTATGACACAGAGACTTACTCTTTACTATGTCACAGACTTTAACATTATGACACCGAGACTTACTCTTTACTATGTCACAGACTTTAACATTATGACATAGAGACTTACCCGTTACTATGTCACAGACTTAACATTATGACATAGAGACTTACCCGTTACCATGTCACAGACTTTAACATTATGACATAGAGACTTCCCCGTTACCATGTCACAGACTTTAACATTATGACACAGTTACTTACCCTTTACTACGTCACCGACTTTAACATTATGACATAGAGACTTCCCCGTTACTATGTCACAGACTTTAACATTATGACACAGATACTTACCCTTTACTACGTCACCGACTTTAACATTATGACATAGAGACTTACCCGTTTCGATACAAAAATCCCCTGTCGTAGACACAATACATGAGTCCTCACTTCCAGCTGGGGGCAGGTTTCCTTGCGAAGACCTCAGCTTTCCTGAAACATGAGAAAGTTAGGGCGGATCAGTGTTGAACATATCAACAAAAATTGTGTTACAAACAGAAGGTCTGTGCTCAAGTAATAAACGAAGATTTTGTACGCAAGGCACAAACGGATATGTTGTGCACAAGAAATAAATGGAATGTGTGTACACGGGTAACAAAGTATGTACGCAAGTAACAAATATAAAGTAAGAACAACACTAACACCAAACGGATGGTCTGTACACAAGTAATACACAGAGTCGAGGAGAAAAAACCCAAATGCAAGGTCTGGTCACAACTAGCAAGTGAAGAGGAATGCTCAAATTAAAAATGGCGCCTCTGATCTTCAGGTGTTCAGTGTTCGTGTAATCGGGACGGCGCCGGTCTTGACATCTCGATAACGTTGACTTTATCGAAGGGGTTTACTATTAGCGACACCAGGATAACGCCGCCTTACTTGCCATAGTTCTATCATCTATGTACAACTCAAGACGGTCGATGGTCTTACCTTTGCGGAATTGTCTGAGATTAGTGGTCTCAGCTGCGGAAGATCCGTACACGTTAGACCCGTCCACAAATGACGTGATAGCATTTGTCTGCTGTCGCATAGCTGTAAATACAGCAAGCAAAAGTGTTCATACAGCTGTAAATACAGTAAGTGCAACTTAACATTTAGTGACGTGTTCGTATGGCTGTAAATACAACAAGTAAAGTCTTGTTAAGAGTTAATATAGCTGTACAAACAGCAAGTTAAAGTGTTGTTACGTGCTCATATAGCTGTACATACAAGTTAAAGTGTTGTTACGTGCTCATATAGCTGTACATACAAGTTAAATGTTGTTATGTGTTCATACAACAAATGCATGTGTTGTTACTTGTTCATATAGCTATAATAACGACAAGCAAACGTGTTGTTACGTGTTCATACAGCTGTAAATGCAACAAGTGAATGTATTGTTACGTGTTCATACAGCTGTAAATGCAACAAGTGAATGTATTGTTACGTGTTCATACAGCTGTAAATGCAACAAGTCAATGTGTTGTTACGTGTTCATATAGCTGTACAAATAGCAGGTAAAAGTGTTGTCACGTGATCACATAGCCTTACATTCTTCTAGATACAATGGTGTTACTTGTTTACTGTGACTACATCGCCATCTAATCCAGGAAACACTGGCTATCTGTATTCTGACCTTAAGGTTTTATTTCAATACCTTTACGAATTCTTTTACAATCACTACAAATTTCATTTAAAAACATGTTTTTCATGCCAGGTGATGATAATTTAGAACCCGCATACATCCTAAATCTGTTTTAGGTAGAGGTGGTACTGCACGAGTCAACAGCACAGCAGGTGCTCAAGGGAATCAAAATATAATATAAAGCACTTACCTGGATCACAAGAGTCCACAGCGGCGGACGACCTTACAAAGGACATACAATTGGTCCTAAAATGTTGGTCATTCGTCGGGATGGTTATTGGGAAACACTCGTCTCTGCGTAATAGAAAATAACATCACCCACTAAATACATAATCGATCATAATGTCAATATTCGATAGGATTGCATAAACTCAAAAGTTGTTGAGATACACGTCGGACAAGTTAGACATAAAAAGAATTTAGCACCACAAATGAGATTATTTCCTACTATGTCCTCCAGTATAAAACAAAATAAAACCAAATATTCATATAATGAAGTATTTTTTTATAATTTTTCAAAAATGTAATCCTGTAAAATGCTCAGATTACCTGTAGCGGGAGTGATTTAACACGTTTTTGTTATCTGTTTATTGTCTATGTCAATACCTTTGCGATACCCTCCCCATTGATGAAACTCAGTCAAATATTATACGATAGCAAAATGACAATACTCAAGTTCGAAGAGGAACAAATTAATTAATATTTGATAAGGTTACGAATATTTTCTCGATTCTGATCGGCCGACGTAATTTTATCAAACTATTTAAGTGAGTACATGTTGGCATAGCTAAGAGCAGGTTTCGGGATTGTCATAGTCTTTGCATGCTAGCATATCATTATGTTTTAATGATAACTTCCTTAGATATTTGGATTTTAGTAGAACTGGTGTAATTGTATAATGGCAATGTTGATACCCATTTTGACCACGAGCAAAATAGGATAAGAGCATTTCTGTAAGGCTGACAAGGACACTATGAATTGTTTATTCCTATTGATTTTATTAATATTCGGGTCAGCTATCTGGTTATTTTACATATAGTGACGTCGCAATTATTTCCTCCATTCTGAATGGCTATCCAGGTGAAAATTGGGTTGATTCTAGGTGATCTTATTACGGTGAAAGCACTTTTATAGTTCTAATTTGGTAATGATTTCCAGAATAAGTTAGATTTCCCGATCGGACGTGAAAAGGTACGGGGTCACCTGCCCAATTGTTTTACCAGAGATTTTTAAACATGAGTGAAGTTACATTCGTCATCACTACTTGATTTTCAAATAGAGATCTTACTCTATCTAGATTGTTTTTCCTTTTGTTTTCTGTGCCTCTAAGTTTTTCCTTTTTTATATCGACTGGTGTTTTGATTTGGCACTTCAATATAGCAAATATTACCGAGTCATACTCCACACAGGAGGAACTTTAATGAGCAGTTGATAAACCAATAGTCATACTCCACATCACCTGATCTCATCACCATCACAAACATTTGGAGACTGATATGATAAACATGGGACCAAATTAATTAAGTTTTACCTTGCGGAACCGGTCGTGTCACAGCAATCAATTTGTGATCCTTCTTCACCTGTAAAAAATAAATTGTAAACGAATCACTGCCATACAGGATTTATAGACATTAAAAACGTCACAACATATGAAACAGTTCTTAATTGTCTCACATAAACAATATATACTGAATAAGTGGTCGACCTTTACACACAAATGTACAAAAAAATTAACAAATATAAACTCAGTAGAATCATAATACGCTTATAAAACAAGTCTTATCAAGCTGTTAATCTACCTGCCGCAGTGGGTGTGAGTGTGATGTCGTGGTCCAGAAACTGTCCCCATGCCATAACCATTAGAGACATCTCGCTATCTGTTCTTTGTGAACTCGTGTTTACAAACAGAACGTTGCTGACAACGCGAGCGCTAGGCAGTGCAATGGAATCTCTGCTGCTCATGTTTCTAGGTAAACCGATACCTATAAGAAAAAATAAAATATACTTTGCAATACCAGTCGTTGCTCTCAGCAAACAGAAAGTGTAAAAAGAAAATCAAGTCTAATCAATTATTTCAATACGTAAACCTTCTATTCAAATCACAATATGTATATTAGCATGTACCATGCAGGTCACCGAACACTGTTTATGTATTTTTTATGTCCTAGGTTTGGTTTTGTTTCTGAGAAATACATGAAAGAAAGAGTGAACAAAAACTGTTAAAAAGATTGTCAAAATATAATTAAATTGCATTGTTCAATTCAGTACATTAAACTCGAAAATCAAAGTGAACTTCATCAACGTTTTTGCCTTACTGCGATGACGATTATACAATATAACGAAAAGTCATCTACCGTCGCTGTATTTGGCCTCGAGATAGCGTCTCTGTGAGATGCCGGCTGAGCCCCAGTCCGGGTTCTGAAGGTTATTACATTGACCGTTGCTGGTGCGGTATAACGATCTGGTCGTCGGACATTGAGGCGCCGTTATTACGCTCGGGCACTGTGTCTGCCTTCGCCACTCCGACACGATCTCTTCCGAATACTGGATCTCCTGCAGGCTCAGGCCAGTTCTGTGTTACAAAAACATACTAAACATAGCTTTGACCATCGTTGTTTTATACTTTATTTCTGTTCTCTATTTTTCGATCAACCATAACACTGGAAAATGCGTGGCAAGATTATAAAATGTGGTTGATATTTTGTACAAAATAACTAGTAAGATATTTCATATAAATGACAGTGAACAGTTCAAACTTCATCTTGATGGTATTTTTCATTTTGATACGCAAACTCTTAAAACATGCACGGAGTGTCCAACACAGTAGTCTTGTGATAAGTAAAAAAAATACCTAATATACATTATTATTAGTTACACGGATTTTTGGCAGGGTATACCCTGCCAAAAATCCGTGTAACGAATTTATTGCCCCTTTGAGTCTTTTATTTTGGTTTTGTACAGTTCCCCGTCAACTTTTCTGTTGTCAAGATAAAAATGGCACTGTAGATCTACCTCATTTAGTTTCGTTTTATCAAATTCCTCGAACTGTGCTTCCTGATTCTTTTCTTTTAAATACGTCCTCAGCATGTTTGCCGCTCGTCTGTTCGACTTTTGTGTGTTTTGTGGCACATAGTTAGCCCTTTTGGCGAGTATTTCCTCATCAGTATGCGAAGCGAAACGTTTTGTCATTTTGTAAACATCGCCGGAAGCAGACGACGAATGCGAGTTGTCTCCCATTGCCCGGCCGCAAGATACAAAGACACGTGACCCGTATACCCTCGTTAAAGCACGTGATTCCACCGTATTACTGCTGAGAATCACGTGACATGACCGTATACCCCCTGAGATTTTCGTATACCCCTTGAGATTTACGAATGCGGTTTGGTATACTGTAGTTTTTAATCAATCAGATTCCTAGATTTTTCTCAAAGGGGTAATAAGTGTATATATCCTATCTATGTGCTTATATGTGATGTGTCGATGACTAGTACGGTATGTACTCTGTCACATTCATCAAACAAATGCACAGTGAAGCGTATGATCACAAAGGTGTTAAATATGTACGAGTTGTCAAAAAATTGATGTCGATTCAGTTACGCTGTAAGCTTATGTACAATTAGTTGTTAAATATGTACTGAAATGACTCGATTCAGCTACGCGTTGTTTAATACTTCGCCAAAGATGTGCGGGAGTCTTTTATCTATAAATCCAAGGTACTGGACAGAGGGAGCAATCTGTTCATATGGCAGATAAATAAGCCACATGGATTCGCCGCAGAGGGTCAGTTCTAAATCAAGATGAGGGGATTCATAGACTCTCGCATGACCAAGTATTAAGGATGTACACCTCTGAGAAGTCAAACATTTCCTGTATTAAACTTTTTTTCTTATATGGATTTTTGGAAAAAGGAGTTAATGGCATAGAAGAAACTGCAAAAACAATATATATGTCCGTGTTTTCGTTTTAGTGCTCTGATATATAGGTCAAAGGTACCAATTTCACACAGCATTTGATTTTTGGTGATTATTTGGGTTTTGACCATTTGCAGAACAAACTCATACAATTTCTTCCGGGTGTGTTATCAGATGTGTATGAATGTTTGTAGAATTGATGAAAATGTTATTTTCTCTTAAATTATGGAAGTAAAATGTCTTAATCTTATTCTTGTAACTCATAAAGCCGATTTTAGTTACCCCTACCCCCTATTTTTTAATGAAAAAATACCATTTTTTGCAGATTAAACACTTGATATAAAAAGTTCTACTTTTAAACTTTTTTAATATTAAATGAATTAAAAGTGCTTCAGTTTCACGAAATATGTAAAAAAAAAACACGTCAATAATGTATAATTTTCCAGTTTGTTGCATATTATTTTTAGCTTATTAAACATTATAAAGTGGTACAGAAAAATTGAAACTGCTTCAATTAAAAATGGCGACACAATTAAGTGATCAATCTAGTGTCAAAAAAGGTGAAATTTTGGCCTTAATACACATTTTCAAAATGGCCGCCGAATTGGTAATATCTTTAAATTCTTGTGAAGTTCTACAAACAACAGGCGTCTAGTTTTTTTACATATTTTTCAGATGCGTGTTTGCTAATAAACCTGATTATCAATCATCATTTGATTTAATCATAATTTGTTTAATATTACAAAAACCCGTTACACCAGATCTAAACTAGACTTGAAAGTGATTGAAACCTCAGAAGAGTACATCCTTAAACAAGCGTAGCTGAATCGAGTCATCTCTACATGAATCTTTACACAATGCATACTTACCAACCTGAAGAAAATATTGAGAAATAAAGGGGGTTAATATATATAGATGTATGGGGTATCCGTTATCAATATGCATGCTTTTTGTTTTTCAAAACAATATTTACAATCATACCGAATAAGTATTAGATCTTCATCCCGAAAAACTAAACCTAAAAGAGGGCAATGGCAGAGAAGACACTCAGAACCTCAATTTATATAACAAGGAAGCCCTTGATTAGAACCATAACGTTGTTTGTATCCACGAGGTCCTCGGTCAGAACCATTAGGTTATCAGTTTATGTAACCACGAGGTCCTCGGTCGAAACCATTTTTTTATTTAACCTCGAGATCTTCGATCAGAACCGTTAGGTTATGAATATATGTATCCACGAGGTCCTCGGTCGGAACCGTTAATTGTCGATTAATAAATCCATGAGTCACTCGCTAAGAGCCATTATTTATTTATTTATATATTATTGAGCCGTTCTAGAAGAACCGTTATGTTTTTGATTAATTTATTTAGTTTAATGCTCGGCCAGTACCAGATGTTCTTTGCGAACAGATAACTAGGCACCTCGACCAAAGATATTTTGTTATCTTATGTACACAGCCAAGAAGCTGTTGGCCACAATAGTTTTTTTTTTCTTTACATAGGTAGGAAGACCTCAAAGACAATCGTATAGTTCCCTATGGATTTATTGACAATGTTATGTATCACAGGATTACAAAGTCCTCATCAAAATCACAACTGTTCTTCACTTACAAAGTCATGCTGTAGATATCCCTCATACGAGCCGTGATGATATCAATTTACATATCCGTTAGCTCATTGGTCAGAACCGCAATATTTTCACTTACCGATCAATGATACACGAGATACGTGAAGACATTTCAGATCTACATACCAATTAGGACCTCGGTGACTGACGTTTCATCGTTTTATAACAAGTTGCGCTTAGATTGTAATCGAAAAATATACTTACAGCTGTTGGAGTTCCCTGGTTGCAGCCAATGACTGAATGGCGTATTCCTCTTTCGCCCGAGTCTCGGGACTTGACATCTTCAGCTGGTGAAGCTGTCTTACACTATTTCCATGGTTGTGTTTGTCTACACCTATTCACATAAAAAGTGTTTGATTTATCTTCTATTTTGAATTTTTATACTCAAATTGCATTTCGTGTTATATTCTAATGACCTATTGCTTTGTGGATTTTTCTAACCATAAATGTAATTGACGAAATATACATTTTGACGACAACCGGAACTAGTATATTTTTTTTGGTACAAATTTCCTGCATTTCACACAAATACCTATGTCTATGATAATCGGCGACATCCAGAATTTTCAGTTTAAAAAATGAGAAACAGGCTTTACCACTATCAAAGAAAAGTTTCCTCTGTTTTTTCTTTTCCTTGACCGCTCCTTCTCCTTTCTCCTTTGCAAATCTCATAACCTCCTCAATCAGTTCTCGCTCCAGAATATCAATCTTTTTGTCTTGTGCTGACGTTACATCTGTCAGATAGCAGATGACTGCCCCAATTAGGGCTGCTCTCAGATAAAGCACCATAATTTTTGGTCTAAAAAACAAAATGAAAAAGAAATATAAATAATTTAAAGAAAAACCTTTAATTCTGGTAAAACCTCCTGGTATTTTTTGTTAAGTACTGCTAGAGGTCACAAAAAAGGATTTATCTAAACGTTTTTGTAATTTGCAACATTGACATATTAAACATAAGTACTCCAGGTTGGAACTACATCATTTTATGTTCGTCCAATGCTAATCTAAAATGCTTGTTTCTAAATGTATTAACATATGGAAAAGTAAGGCGAAGAGATTACATTTCTACTGTATTACTCAGTAACTTTGTGAGCTATTCCTGTGATGTTGTGAAAGGAAAATAATATACTGTACTTGAATAACTAAAAATTGAAGGAATGTCAGTACAAATGTATTTCCTTGTATCCTTATAACCTTAACGATTTGCATGGAAATCGTAACCTTTTTGTCCATATTTCAAACCAAGAAAATAGAAATTGAAAATGTCCCCTTTACCAATAACCGATTAACCTTGCATAATTAAAACCAGAGACATAGCTGATTGCTTTGTAATCACTGGCAGATTTCGCTATTATACTAAGTGTAAATATTTGCCAATTCTCATCCAGCTTTTTTGACTAAGTAATCGTTTGGAAACCGTCGACCAATAAAACTGTAGTATGCTTATTAATCATGCTCAGATTTTGTTGAACATTTAACTTAGCCAGTTTCGGCCTTTGTATATTGCACTTGAGTACTAAGTTCCAAAAAATATCGCTTGATACTAAATTGTGCCAATTGGTCAATCAAACCACACTATTTTAATTCATTATGTGCGAATTTCGCTTAGCTTCGAACTTAGCCTCAGTGTCTGAACACATAGTGTACATGCATACCAAGTCTTATCAAAATCGAACGATATTGAACAAGTTATCCCGCAGAAACCAATTTGTTCAAAGGAGGTGTTGCATGGCGGCCCAAGACCAATTTATTAAGTTTTAGCAAAAAATAATTAATTGGCATGACAAGCCAATACTTATTTCTCAAATGGAACAATTTTGTGACTGCAGCGCCCCCTACATCTATTTTCAGGATGCCTAGGACTCTGTGCCTTTCATGCATTATATTTCAAAATACACAAAATACAAAATTTTAAATTCAAATTAAAAGAAAAGCATGATACAGTTCGGGTTCCATCAAATGTTTGCACTTAAAAATATCTGAAGGTATCCATTTTTCTTCCGTAATATTTTTTTATGATGATTACTGGATATGCCCACCTTTTGGAACTTCTTTAACCGTACCCCCTTATCTTACTGAAAGTACGGAGTGACCGCTGTTACATGATCTTACAAAGAGTGTTGCATGGTAGTTTTCAATATTACTTGGTCTAGAATTTAGTATGGGATATTCTTGGGAAGTGATATTGAGATTTTGTATAAATGAAGAATGTGACTTACGAAGATTTACTCCAGTGGGACCTGAAAAAGGGCTGCTTCAGTGCTACAGTCATGAAAAATGCACACATTAGTTTCCAAACTTTTTCTTCAGATTGGTAAGTATGGATTTTAGAAAGGTTTATGTAGCACATTCAGGTTAGTGTTTATGTGTGCAATTTCTATGACTAGCACGGTATGTACACTATCACCTCCATCAGAAAAATGACCAGTGAAACGTACATGTATAAACACAAATGTGAAAAATATGCACGAGATGACAATTACAATCGCCCTCCATTAGATTGCGCTATAAAAGTGTGAGTACACTTGTTGTACAATAGGATTAATTAAACCAACAATTCATTAGCCTACACGTCTTTGTTAATACCTGATGATAAATGTGCGAGATTATATGCGCCCCCTAAACTCGATTTAGAAATCAAGTTTTCTTCATTTGTTTGCCACTAGGAACAGATTGTTCTCTCTGTACAATACTTTGGAGTTTTCCCAGTCTATAACATGATTTTGCTGTACGGTATGGTCTGTGCATGGGTAAAAATGCGCTCATTGGTGATTAATGGATAACAACTCAGATTGATATTTAACGTCTACAAGAAAAATGGTGAATAATGTACACTATCATATATATCTATCAATCGATCATTAATGTGAAGAGGAGGGGCGATGTTAAATCGTCGCAATTTGCATACTAGAATTTTACCTGCAGGTTTCTGAGTTTAACCAAGTTCGGAATTAAAAAAGCAACAAAAGCACCATATACGGGTGTCTGCTGCGCCCTCGATACAGAAAGTCATTAACTATTTCAAAACATCGTTCTGTCATAGTTCAATATTGAAATACACAACTACATATTTTGACAATGAGCTTGGCCAAATTGTAAGAACATTAAAAATTGAACGAGCTGATTTTCGGACAGGATAGAAAGACTGAAAAAAGTAATAACTCTTTTGAGATTGTTTAATCCAAAAGTTAAATCACTACCTGACAATAAAAAATAAAGCCTGTGTGTTATCAGGACAGAAATCCGAAATATCCAGACAAGATTTGAAGATGTTATGTTCAGTTATCCTTTTCAATTTTGATTCCCTCTCCTTCGTAGTGCTTGCTTTCTAAAAACATTGGACAAATTGAATCATACTTGGTACTGGTGATTCAAAAAAGTTCGTCGTCATCATGTGGTGTTTTTCCAAGTCTATTTGAAATCACAGAACTTCGCCCTACTTCAGATTGGCTGCCAATCATTCAATTTTCAAATTTTCTTCAAAATATATACTCAAATATTAGACTTCATTAAAACATCATGTATTCGGAGCAAATAGAAAATCCAATATTGCCACCATAACCGCCATTTTGAATTTAAACAAATATTGTAATAGGCTTTTGGTGTTCAAATTTGACAGTGCATAATCCATCCAAATTAATATTTTTGTTGATCAAATAAATCACATTGACCTCATTCAAGGTAGGTGGGGTCAAATCCATAGAAAAACTCAAACAAGTCTTCACAGCAACCATAACGCCTAAGGCCATGTTTTCGAGCAGTATGGGATGGATGGCTATTAAAATAAAATAATATATGACTTCGACCGTCATTCAAGGTCATAAAAGTCAATTATGTTAAATTTTTCAAAACATTTACCTAAAGAACCATAAGTCCTTCGGTCATGATATGTGTAGCTTGAATACAAGTCTATCGATTTTTTCAATTTTGAATATATAGCTTTACACAGTTTTAAAGCATAGTATTATGATTTAGACAGTAGTTAGTATGGATGAAAGGCTATAATGCTCGTTCGAATATTGACCTTCACATCTTGCCATAGCCGCAGATTTGAAGGTTCAGAAATCAAGACTATTTTTCAAGAATCATAAGGCAAAAGGAATAAAGGAAATTCCATATTCAATAATAATTTATAACCGATATGATGGCGAAGACTGATATAGGGTTTGTTTATTACTTACTATACAAGCTGTATATTCTGTGTATGTTGGCTACACCCAAACACATATCTGTCTCTTATTCCTTATGTGAATGATCTCGCTGTGAACACAGTATATCCCTTGTCACTGGTAGGGCCCATTGGCCTATTGTTTAAATTTAATTATGTAAGGATGATTAAGTGAAAAAAGTGATGCTTTGGGTAATGCGTTATGTCTGCAGCAAAAATATGTCGGTAATATGTTCGTTATAAAATATGAATTAATAGTATAATAAACAAAGTGTGGCATTGTTGGTTTTGATACAATAAACACATGCAGGACATTGTATTCGTGTTATTTGGAAAATATTTTGAATCTTTACATGTAATTCTGAAACAAAACGGATTTCACCAAGGATTAAATTGTAAATCAACATTGACGTATTTTCAAAAAAAAATCACAAAAAAAGTATCGCTACAGTCACATTCCATGTATATAAACATAAACTGTAGTTTTTGAACAAAGTTTTTTTCAAATCAATCAATCAATACTAGGTTGCTGATTGTTATGCAAAACGTTTTTATGATCAGATGACAGAACTGATTCAGTACTTTTAGTACTTTGATATTTAATAAAAACCAAGGGGGTAACGGAAAAGAAGTTCTAAAAAGTGGGCATTTCCAGTGAATCATCAGTAAAATTTGATATGCTATAAAAATGAATAATTTAAGAAAGTATGGAAAGTTGATGGAACCCGAGCTCGATCTTGTAAATATTCTCACAAACACAAAAAAGTCAAAAATTGAAATATCATTTTTTGGGACTAGATTTACGCGTAAATGGTAATTTATGAAAAAATGATACCACATACGGCCAATAGTTGTATATCATTTTAAAGGTAATTGTTTTTGCTTTTAACATTTTCAAGCAGATTGCGATATCATTTTTGTAATTGCCACATTGGTTCCATTAAAGGCACATGGGGAGATAAAATTATTAAATAATAAGGGTAAGGGGCGCTGCAGTCACACTTATGGTCCAGATGAAGCTTAAGCGTTGTTTGAATAAGTAATCTGTTCAAATTAATTGATTTATACTAAAAAAATCAGAAATATCTCATGGGCCGATTTTCACCATCTATGCAACACCTCCTTTGATATTATTTTGTTCTATGCTAACATTTGATATTATTGATATTTTATGATAAAGTTGTCATTTACATGAACTCCTACAAACGATGGCTTATTTTTTATTTGACCATGTTAACCCTGTAAAAGACGTACTTGAAATATAGCTTATAACAAGTAATGCTATAATATCAATCCAGGCATCGTCCTATTTAAACGGCCTAAACAACTCTATAAAACAACAGATAAAATTTAGAGCAGATAGTGAAGTATAGCGGCAACAAACATGAATTAAAAGAAATCGTACCTACCTTCGGACACCAGCATATACCTGTAGTGAATTATAACAAATCAGGTGTATTTATACTGACCACACCTACGTCACGACACGACTGGCTTAATACACTATACCAGTAGGAGAAAAGAGGACAGACTTTGTTGCGCCGAGCTAGCTAACAGCCAAATATTAAGAATCTAGACTTATCCGTTTTGACATAATGTATTACTTTAGTCTTTAAATAAGTCACGGTCTGATTTATTTGCAAAACTTGTAAGGCTCAACCGACGAAAGATATTAGTCAAATATCGTGATTCTGACCTCAAAGTTCTTCAGAAAAGTTTTGAAGTTTTTGACATATTCGACCTATATGCCCTTGGAAGTACGTCAAGGCATTTTTTAGGTAAGGTAAAGTAAGCTCTATACTTTATTTGGCTCCATCCAAGAATTCTACCAGCCTTTATATCACAACTCTAGGCCTTTCGGTTTTTCAGAAGAAGTCGTTTGAAATATGAGACTTATTTGACCTATGTATCTTAAAAAGGATCAAAGTCATTTGCAAGGTTTGTTCGGTTCCATCCAGGGAATATACCAGCCGAATGTCTTCACTGTAGGCCTTTTTTTCTTTTTATCGAAAAGTTGACGACAGACGGACGGACGGACTATGGACGCTAGGCCACAACATAAGCTCACCTAGCCCACCTAAGACATGAATATTGACCGAAGCGTTAACTTAAGTCACAGAGTGGTCAAAAATGGACATAGTTCAATAACTTGTTGACGTTTTGTTTTCATAGTTGTACTTTAAATTTAAATGAAATTTCTCCATCAATTTTACAAAACCTTGTTTAGAGGAATCTGAGACAAGATAACCTGGTAAAGATCTCAAAGGTGAACACCTCCACATGAGGTAAGAGATCTTTCTGTTTTGCTGCTTTGTGGAACAGCCTACCAAATGAACTTCGATTAGCTGAAAACTATAAGCCGTTTCGTGGGCTGCTCCGCACATGGAACAAAAATGTTTGCTCATGTGCTATCTGCACACACCATATAGTGTGAGTTGTCCCCCATTGGAATCTACCTACAAGTTTTATACTATTTAATTTCACTGTTGCTTTTGTTATTTAATTTAATATACTTCAGTAATATACTTATTATATATTTGATATTTATTTTAGATTTGAGCTCCATCATTTAAAATATCATTACTTTTTTACAATATCATAATTATATCTCTGTTTCTTCCTATGACTTCATTGTCTCCTTTTAATTCACACTATATTAGTGTATATCCTGTACATTTTTACACTTTGCTACATTAGCATATATGTACATTAAGTATGATAGTGTCTTAACTTGTCTTTTGTAACACTTGTGTGACTTTCAAGTGTGATCTCATATGCTGTAATGTATATTTTTAGCATATCTAATTTGATTGTTGTCCTGTTTTTATATTTATATATATTCATAAGTACTGTGATCCTTGTTAAGTTTCATATATGTTTTGTTGCAAGAATAGCACTACAGTGCTAATGTTATTATGTTACATGTATATGCGACGTAAAATAACGCTTCTTGACTCTTGACTTTAACTTGTGAGATTTACTTCAGGGTTTTGCCAATTCACTGGCTTCGTATGGAGCAATTTAACCCAGTGATATACTGAAAAGATTCAAATTTCCAAAATTATTCATAGACTAATCCTTCTTGGGAATAACGGAATGTAAACTTCACAAAATCACATACTTTATGAGAGTATTGTCGTTTAATAGTGAACAGGTCAATATATAACCAGAGTGAATTTCAGAAACGAGAAAGGAAGCGGCTCAATGGTTTTTTTCTGTAGCTTACAAGTGCTTTACCATTGTCTTCCGAATTACATATATGATTGTTTCAACAAAATTTATAAGATTTACATATCTGAAGTTATACACACTTAATTCATTACATCATTCTGTATAATTTCGTTTGCATAAATGTTCAAACATTGTTTTAAAGGGGAGGGGAGTGTAATGAAATTTCGTGAAATCGACACCTCCCTTTTTAAATACAAGAGGCCCAATGGGCCTGCATCGCTCACCTGGTTTAAATATCACACTTGTAACCTTAAAAGTGGTCTTAAATAAAGCTACAGGCAAATTAAGTCATTATGTTGAACAAATTTATAGCTTTTAATCTCAGGATGCAACTTGCAAAGTATCAACATCCTGGGACCCATGGCTATTCAGAAGAGATCGTTAGAAGATTTTAAATAAATTTGACCCCTGTGACCTTGAATATAAGTCAGTCATTCACTTTAACAAACAAAGTAGTCATTGATCCCATCTTGCTAGCATATTTACTCCTTGTGACCTTGAATAGGATTCAAGGTCATCCATTTAAACAAACTTGATAGCCCTTGATCCTAGTATGCTACTGACTAAATATCATCACCCTGGGCATTTTGGTTATTCAGAAGAAGTTGTTTAAAGTTTTTAACATATTTGACCCCTGTGACCTTGAATATGGGGGAAGGTCATTTATTTGAACAAACTTTGTAGCCCTTTATCGAAGCATGCTACTGGCCAAATATCATTACGCTGGGCATTTTGGTTATTCAGAAGAAGTTGTATAATGTTTTTAACATATTTGACCCCTGTGACCTTGAATATAGGGGAAGGTCATTCATTTGAACACACTTTGTGGCCCTATATCCCAGCATGCTACTGGATAAATATCATCACCCTGGGCATTTTGGTTATTCAGAAGAAGTTGTTTAAAAGTTTTTTTAAGACAATTGACCCCTGTGACCTTTAATACAAGAGGCCCAATGGACCTGCATCGCTCACCTGGTATTAATCTCACAATTGTAACCTTAAAAGAGGACTAAAATAAAGCTACAGTCAAAATATCAGCGTCTTGACTTAAAGTTTAAAGTAATTCAGAAAAAATTGGCAAAGGTCATTCATTTGAACAAACTTGGTAGCCCTTCATCCCAGCATGTTACTGGCCAAATATCATCATCCTAGGCCTCTTGGTTATTCAGAAGAAGTCGTTTAAAGGTTTTAAACATATTTGACCCTTGTGACCTTGAATATAAATCAAGGTCATTTATTTGAACAAACTTGGAAGCCCTTCATCTCAGCATGTTACTGGCCAAATATCATCACCCTAGGCCTCTCAGTTATTTAGGGGAAGTCGTTTAAAGGTTTTAAACATATTTGACCCCAGTGACCTTGAATATAAATCAAGGTCATTTATTTGAACAAACTTGGTAGCCCTTCATCCCAGCATGTTACTGGCCAAATATCATCACCCTAGGCCTCTCGGTTATTCAGAAGAAGTCGTTTAAAGGTTTTAAACATATTTGACCCCAGTGACCTTGAATATAAATCAAGGTCATTTATTTGAACAAACTTGGTAGCCCTTCATCCCAGCATGTTACTGGCCAAATATCATCACCCTAGGCCTCTTGGTTATTCAGAAGAAGTCGTTTAAAGGTTTTAAACATATTTGACCCCAGTGACCTTGAATATAAATCAAGGTCATTTATTTGAACAAACTTGGTAGCCCTTCATCTCAGCATGTTACTGGCCAAATATCATCACCCTAGGCCTCTTGGTTATTCAGAAGAAGTCGTTTAAAGGTTTTAAAGATATTTGACTCCAGTGACCTTGAATATAAATCAAGGTAATTTATTTGAACAAACTTGGTAGCCCTTAATCCAAGCATGTTACTGGCCAAATATCATCACACTAGGCCTCTCAGTTATTTTGAAGAAGTCGTTTAAAGGTTTTAAACATATTTGACCCCTGTGACCTTGAATATAAATCAAGGTCATTTATTTGAACAAACTTGGTAGCCCTTCATTTCAGCATGGTACTGGCCAACTATCATCACATTAGGCCTCTTGGTTATTCAGATGAAGTTGTTTAAAGGTTTTAAACATATTTGACACCTGTGACCTTGAATATAAGTCAAGGTCATTTATTTGAACAAACTTGGTAGGCCTTCATCCCAGCATGTTACTGGTCAAAGACCATCACCCTAGGCCTCTTGGTTATTCAGAAGAAGTTGTTTAAAGATTTTAACATATTTGACCCCTGTGACCTTGAAAATGGTTGAAGGTCATTTATTTGAACAAACTTGGTAGCCCTTCATCCCAGCATGCTTCTGGCCAAATATCATTACCCTAGCCCTTTTGGTTACTGAGAAGAAGTTGTTTAAAGTAAAAAGTTGACGCCGGACGGACGACGGACGGACGACGGACGACGGATGGACGACGGACGCCGCACCATGCCATAAGCTCACTTGGCCCTTCGGGCCAGGTGAGCTAATAATTGAAGGTAATTCATTTGAACAAACTTGGTAGTCCTTTATCTCAGCATGCTACTGGCCAAATATCATCTCCCTGGGAAGTTTGGTCATCGAGAAGAAGATGTTTTAAGTTTTTAACATATTTGACCCCAGTGACCTTGAAAATGGGTGAAGGTCATTTATTTGAACAAACTTTGTAGCCCTTCATCCCAATTTGCTTTTGGCCAAATATCATCACCCTAGGCCTTTCGGTTATTAAGAAGAAGTCGTTTAAAATAAAATATTGACGCCGGACGACGGACGCCGCGCCACGGCATAAGCTCACTTGGCACTTCGTGCCAGGTGAGCTAAAAATATGGCCTATAGACACGAAATGATTACACAATGAAAATAAAACAAAAAGTACGTACGAATGACTACCACACACATCATTGCTCCAGGACAAAGTAACTTTGTCACGATGTCTTCGTGACCTTTTTCAAATACGCGGCTCTGTCAGAGATAAGTCTTTGTCAAGAACCAGTGTGAGTCCGTAATAGTAAATTTCCAATCGTTTCTATTACCGAACGTCACAACAAAGAAAGCTTTGACTACATATATGTTTCGAACACTATATTTATAATAACACGAAAACTGGCCTGAGGGTAAGAGTCTTAAGTCTCTAAATCTTAATGTAAATAAGGGAATCTCATGTATATACCGTCCTCCAAAATGACCAGCTCCGCCTACAACAAATGGAGGCATTGT